CTGGTTTTGTGAGGTGAAAATTCTTTTAATTTTTCAAATATTTCAAGAATGATGATAAGAACGTATGGTCAAACTTTTTTAAAAATCTATAGAAAAGTGTTTAGAGGATGTGATACCTTAAACTGTTTTACAATGTTAGAAGCACGAACCCTGAGGACGAACCAGTAGGGCGATTATATATATACATTTATATTCAATTCATGGAAAAAATAATTAAATGAAATCCTATATTATATTTTTTACATAGTTATTCTTGCAAAAAATATTTAACTATTCTTAAGAGTGTTGGAACAAGAAAGGTATTTAAAAATAGCTGTTAAAATTTATACTTTCTTTTAAAAACGAATTTTTATCATAATTGAAACATTGATCGTAACTTGTAAATAATGAGCCGGAATCCTGAACATTTTTACTTTAAATTGCGCCCAGGAAATTATAGATATTTGTTAACATAATACAACAATAGGAAGTAAACTGAAAGATTTTTATGTGCCCGTTGGGTTCTGACGTCTGGCGATGTGTTTTTTATAACTCGTTTGTTTACATCTTTCTTGTGTGCTTCTACTTTATTTCCTATAATTCTATCCATGAATAAATGTTCAGTTTCTTGGACGAAAATAAAAGTACAAACATTTAAAAATCCGGTTGATTCCTTTGAATGTTGCGATAATTGTTTAAATTGTGAAAAAAGTTCGTTTAAAAATTGTAACTTTTAACAGACATTTTTAAATAGGGTAATGTCACCTTGAGTGGACCGCCTTAGCTTTTTTCGAAAAAATTCTATATGAAAGCAAATTAATCGGAGGTTTCTATTCCAAGCTTTAGTTAAGATACCTAGATAAGTGTTTATACCATAATAGATTTGATTTTTTTTTATTTGGAAGAAAAAATTGACTTTAAAAAAATTTAATTTTTAAGGAATGGAAAAAGTGTAACCTTGAGTGGACCACTCCTAAAAAATTGCGAAAGTTATTCTAAATTCTTTAATGTATTTAATATTTCTGATATATTAATACAAAATTTAGGCTTATGCAGCTTCAGACCATGTTTGTGTCGCAATGTTTGCAAGTCGAACCATTTTTAATAATTTTGGCACATATCACATCAATATCACAAAAAAATTATTTAAGAACATAAAACATAGTTTCAAACCAATTTAATGTCAATTTATATCCAAAAAATGGTAAACTGACATTAAAAATGGAAAAAACAGGTAATCCACTCATGGTTACAAACAGTGGTCCACTCATGGTGACATGCAACTTTTCATGGCAGCCACCACAACTTTTTTAGTCAAAATTATCACTTAATTAAACTTAGACAATCAATTTTAATGTTTAAAGTAGAAGGAAAAAATAAGTAACTATTTAAAACTTAAATTTTACACTATTTTTACACTTCTGAATCACTTAACTTATTGTAAGAGGGACTTTTTCTTGGTTTGTGATCTTAAAAACGCGTTACATCAAACGGTAACGTATATGTTTATCGCGGAACTTAATTTCTTACGGTTTCTAAGTGCGGTGCTGCTATTCGCACTATTTACTTCACGTTTCCGCTGTCAGATAACTTAAAAGCTAAGGCGGTCCACTTAAGGTGACATTACCCTACCTATTTTGTTCCGACACCCTTAAGATTATGTCATTCAATGGTCACGTGCCTCATAAGACAATAATGTTAAAAACATATTAAATTACAGTTGTCTCAAACCAAATTTTAACCAAAATTCAAAACAAGATTCTACTAACATTATAAAAAAAAATTGAAAGGACTATTTTAAAGGTTCTGAAATTTAAAAAAAGATAAGTTTAGAAGTTAATAATAGTATTATTACTAGTTTACATAATAAGCATCGTATTACACCTTAAAAGAAAAAACTTTTGTATGGAAATTAAATTTTGTATATCACAAAATGGTTCTTAAAAGAAAATCCTGAAGTCTTTTTACCCATTCTGATAAAGGAAATATTTTAGTTCAAAAATGATGAAACCTCTAAGTATTGACTGTGACAAAATTTTATATTATATAAAAAATTAAGAATTGTCTGATATTCTTGCTGCCACACATTCTGCGATTCGACATGGAGGAAAGAATCGTATGGAGTACGAGCCTACATAAACTGTCAGATTCAAAAGTATTGCTTTGTATTGGCGCCGAGGTGTTGTGAATTACGTTATTCGACAAATACGCATTGGAACCAAATTAATACTTTTTAATGCGATAGTTCATATTGCTTCGAATGCGCTTAAATGGGATTGTATACAAATTAAATTTCTCAATAAATATGAATACTATTTAATACAGTTTATTGGTTTCGCTTGAATGCAATTTAATACACCAAAATATTAAAAGAATGGTTAATACTTTCTACTACTTTTTAATGAGAGACTTTCTATTACTTTGGGCAGAAAACGCGATTAAATCGTATTTAAACTGTCAATACAGTTTAATACTTTTCAATGCGACTTTTTTTGTAGGGAGGGCAAGAAATTATATTGCAATGTCACAAGAATATGCAATAGATATGCATTCACAAGAACATAACGGCTTTCGTTTTATTATGGTCTATCTGGACCATTTAACGAAATTTGACAATGGACTGTAATCACGGAACTGCATACAGTGCATATAATCAATAAGTAAATATTCCTAATAGTAATGTATTTGAAAATCTCAATATACTGTTGTGTTTGGAAATAGGTCGTTCACTTTTAGAAGCAATTTTCCGTTGCTCAGCACAAGTCGGTATTATGTCGATTGCAATCCCCAATTTAGAAATTAATAACATTAACACAGAGGAGGATATCGAACGAATTTGTAAAGACAACGACGATACAACAAAGCATGTCCAATGTGACTCAACCGCCTCCTAAAATTGAGAATAATCCATAAGAAACACAACCTCAAGCGCTTCCGGAAATACGTCAAGATTTTAATGTGGAATTGTCTGCAGCTGATAATTATATTTAACTTAATAATAAAAATTAATAATAAATTTAGCTAATTTTATGTTTCATTAATATTTTTGCCATTAAATATATATTATTATAAATAATACAGTTACAATTTTTTTTAATTATAGAGAATAAAGTAAAGAAACGACTTCGTGAAAATCGAGCAAGTGTAAGAGAACATTTAGGTTTTAGGAAAACAAGCATAAAAAATGTTAAAGTTTTGTTTGCAAAGTTTAGTGCCATTAGCAATCGGATCTACGGTCAGAATCCCCATTTCCGATGTCGACAGGACAAGAGGAGTAGCACGAAATGTTTTGTCAGCTGTTATAGAGATTGATAATGACTATTATACTCTGGGTAAGTAACACTTGTGATTTACTAATTTTATATAATGCCCTTGCTTTTTCTAATTATGCATTTTTTTAGGAAACGAACATGGCACACTAAATAGAAAATTCGTGCAAAGTGAAATACATAAATGTGACAAAAATCTTATTGAATTCGAAAATGTTTCTGATGTAGAAATCACACTAAGAGAAGCTGATTCAAAAATCAGCGTATTTGGGGGTCGGGGATACGAGAGGTGTAATTGTGAAGCGGGATGTGCCCAAAGCAAGTGCAAGTGATTATTTTTTTAATAAAACATTTTGCATAAATAAATAAACCGAATAATAACAACTATTCAACAATTTCTACGTCATGACATTGTCTAAAAAAAGTGGGCATTATTGAGACATTCCCCAAGAATTAGTGGGCATTGTCAGACCTTGCCCGGCTCTTAAACATTGCTCGTACGATATGTGTTCGTACAATCGAAGGAAGAAAATAAAGAAAATGTCGACACAATATTTTGTATGTATAGGTTCTAAAATACATGTTAAATTAAAGTTAATAGTACTATAAAAGTTATCTGAAAGAATCCAGTCAAAGCGGAAAAAATAATTCCAAATTCGCCTTCAACAAGTTATTTAGGGGTTTTCGGTGATGTGATTTATGAAATTTTTCTGCTATATTGGATCAACCATTTAAAATTTTTTGTTATGCTTATAAGATTTTCTAGAGATGCAATTTCTTACACATTAGAGATACAATAAGCAAAGAACAATATCAGCCAAGACAAAAAAATTTTTTTTATAAAGAAGCACTGCATTCATGAAATTAAAACAAATCTTGTGCACCTTAAATAAGTATTAACGAAATGCTAATTGGCAGAGATTTTGGTATTGTGTAGGAAATATGCTTTTTTCTGATTTCTTAAAATTAATAATTTTATAGTCAAAAGTTTCTTATTGTGGAACAAATTTATAAAATTCTTCATTGTCAATTTCCCAATATAAAATAGGAAATATGATTAACATTAATATTATCTGAAATAGTGATTTTTATTTTTATTGTACTGGATAAGACTATATATATATATTTTATAATTTTGAAATAGGTATTCAAACATTATCTTCTATGACGCTAGAACCTGGTGATGTGAACATGTATACATCAATGCACAATATGTATTATTGGAATACATAAAGTGAGTTGTTATTATTATTGTATTTTATTCTGACATGTGAAAGTTTCTACTTGGGTATAAATATTAAAAATTGTTTTTTTTATTAATTTACAAAGGAAATTAAGATTCTTAATTGTCACAAAGATCAGCGTAAACAAATGTCTGCTTTTGTTTCCTTGTTGCTCACAATATTTTTTATTTCAAATGCACAAAAGAGATGATTTCAGATAGCAGACGATAGGGAGTCATTCACTTGTTCGACTTGTGTAAATATGTTATTTATTTTATTCCACTGGCGAAAATAGCGCATGGGACCCTTTGTTATTTTTGCACTTATGCTAAAATGCCCGCCATTTTCATACGGTGGAACAATTGACTGACTTTACTCCCCGTCGTCATATATTAAAAAACGCCATTTTTGTGCTATTAGGATAAAAAAAGCATTTGCCCTGGTTCAATTTATTTATGACACCTTTTCTGTTAACTATTAACAAACAAAAATTTTTAAATTAAGTTTAATTGAAATGAAAAAATTATACCTTTGCTTGGTCAGCTTTCGTTTTCGTTGTTAATCGATGTACTCTCCAAACTTTGCTGAACATTGCTCCAAATGCTAGAGTAAATCCAACTGATAATATCCAAGCTCTTGCCTGACAAATTTTGGGATATTGCCAAGGCTCCATAAATCTACCATCGATACCCAATAAAAAAACTGAGATAAAACATGCAATAACTCCGACCAGCATTATGGTATTACACACTGGGTGGGAAGACATTATCACTCTGTAAAAGCATAATGATATATTTGTTATATTAAATTGCTTAGTAATTAAAAGTTGTTTTATCAAATTTGTTTCTATTAAATAATTCTCTTAGTGTTTAATTAGGTTTGTATTAATCCTTTCACAGCAAAAACATGGACTTAGAACATTCTATGAATATCCCAGTAAAAAAAGAATTATTAGACAAGGGAAAAGGCGAAATGGACAAACGGCTTGTCCAATTCGCTTTACTGCATTTGTCGAATTGGACTAATTGTTTAATTATCCTGAAAATTCTCTGGAATTTAAAATAGAAGAATTTTGCTTTAGTAGTGTTAAGAACTAAACGAAGTAGATAAATGTACATTAAAAAAGTAAGAATTATGAAAAGTTCTACTTTATCTACAGTGGATGTATATCCGTACTGATATTTGTACCTATATAATAAATTACTTTTTTTCACGTTTATTATAAACAAGAACTGTTACTAGAACTGTACAGCGAAGCACATTCAACATTTTTATAGGGATTTTACTATATACTATTATTTTTCTTATTTTCCTCTTATTGTAGAAATTTTCATACTTTTTTAATGTACATTTATCTATTTCGTTTAGTTCTTAACACTACTTAAGCAAAATTCTTCTTTTTTAAAGCCCAGAAAAATTTCAGGATAATTGGACCTATAATAAAGGCTAATTAAACATCCAATTCAATAAGCTAAATGCAGCCGTCTGTTCAATTCGCCTTTTCGCTTGTCTAATAATTGTTTTTTTACTGGGATGGAGTCTGGCTTAAAAAGATATCCAAAGAATATCTTTATTACGTCCTGGGATTTCTGAGTGAGTTCTTTTAGATATTCTGAGTAATATGTTGTTGTGAGGAATGCTTATTTCAACAAATACTTAAAGCTATTACTTTGATTTGGGAAATTAAAAAGAAAGTTCTCAGTTACCTTCTATATCTATTACATATATTGAAAATGATAAGTAATAAGGCGACGACAATGCCAACCGATGAAATAGTAGACATGCATATAAAAAGAGGCAGAGAAACAGTTCTTAGAACGTTTTTTACGATTGTTCTATCCTGAGGAATTTTTCCACCAATCCACCTTTCTGCGTTTAACCATGTTAAATTATCCGCTTGTGTATCGTAGTAGCCTAATTTAACATACTTTCCGTCAATCATTTGTTCTATTTGAGTCAAGGCAATTCGATCTCCTTGAGAGCTAAAGGCGACATAACCCTGAAATCGTAAATTCATGCAAAAATTATTCCCCATTATGTAATTATAATTTGTATAATTTCAGTATTTATATACTTTAAACTTAAGAAGTAAATAATATAAACTTGCTAAAATATCACACGGGTGTAACTTTATAAAAAATATACAAATTTTTAAACATCTTTAAAGAAAATATTTGAGTTTTTGGTAAGAAATTGTGACGAAAAAATAGTTATTGTGCAATTTTTTACTTATTTATAAAATAATAAGTTTTCTTAAAACATAGTGATAAAGAAATATAAATGATGCAAATTCATTCACTTTAAAAAAACATTTAAAATCATTTATTGACGGGTTAGTGGAAAACAGTACTATTTCAGAAAATAGATGAAAAAGGTACTAATTCCTGTGATATAAGTGTCCCGAGAAAACTTTTCTTACAAGCTACATCTTAATTTACTACGTTTTGCGTCTACCGAACGGCTTGAAATTAGAAGTACTGAACAATTCCATATTAAATGGAACTTTTAATAAAAAGTTTTCCGAATGAGGTATCGGAGTCAAAATTTGCTGACTTGACAAAATGTCATGAGCTTCTGCTTTTGAAAGTGGAAGTGGATGAGGAAGAATTCTGCAGCGTGCGTTGTACATGCTGTTTTTCCCTTTTTGCGTATCGCCTTTTGTTGACGAAAATTATCATTCACAGCAGTGTAAACTTTACACAAACAATATCGTTTTACACAATCCCACCTAATTTCACCGTTATGCATTTCTTTTTTTTATAAAATGTAAATTTACTATCAACAAGCAATAATAATTGATGATCACAAGCCACGGAGTCTCACCACCGTAATTTACCATCGGTTAGTGTGATGATTATAAAAGGTACCAATTCTCCCGCAAAGGATATTTTTTATAATGCCTTGTTAAGGAAAAACTTATGTAAATCATAATTTTGAAAAATTTAGTTTTTAGTACCATACCCTGGGGCTATTAGGAACAAAACTCTGTTTTCGGATGGGGTTGATGCTATCGGCGCCGTGTATCGATAAATTGTGTTACTTGCTTTTAAAAAATTGTTGCTGCGGTAACTGGCAATACTATTCAATGCAATAGTTGTGACTATTAATTATTTTGTAAACAGTAGTAGCTTGTAAGTGACTTAATGTTTTTTAGTGCAGTTTCAAACGTAGCAAAAGTTTGGTAACCGAGGTAAGTTGTTCCTGTCTTAACTTCTCAAAGTGATTGTTCTTTATAAAAGGGATTTCTTATGGGAAACTTTATTGAGTTTACTAAGTAATAAATATGTTCATTTCGTATTTACAGTAAAATTTATGAGGCAAAAACCAAATTCACAAACGGCGGGGCTATAAGGGCAAATACATGGAACCGTGTGATTTCATGTTACTCCTCATTTAAACAATTTTTTTTAACATTATATAATTTTTTTTAATGTCAATGTCTCTTAGATAACATATAAAACAGAATAGTCAAATAAAACCATAATTTGTATAATCTTCATGTAAAATAAATAGTCATATGTGTACTTAAAAAATTAAATTTGATTTGTTACTTTGGGCTTCTCTTCGACTTAAACGTGTATAACTTTTTCAGCGTAAATTAAAATCGTCCAAGAAAAGCTGTAAATAATTTTTCTAATATTTTAAAATCTATTCCACGTCAAAAGAAATATGTGCTCCTTTATTAAAACTAAATGGCAGCAATTCAAGCAATGTTACTCCCATTTTTCAGTAACAGGAAGTCCAAGGTTTTCTTCATTTTGTGCTTTCAGCGGTAATGCAATTCTAATTTTTTTGAAAGAGCTTATTCCTTATGAAAAAATTAATAAATTTGGACCTTACTTAACCGTGTGCCTTTAAAAATAAAGATAATAAAACAATAATTATGTCTACACCTTCAAACGTGAATGATTATAAATTTATACTTTTTTTAATGGCACACTTATAGCTTAAAAAATAATCAGTTGAAACTTTGTGTGAACGGTAAATATTATTATAAATATTCATGATTCTAAATGCTAAATATGTATTCCAATTAAAACATTTTAAAAATATTAAATATAAAAATGTTGTGGAATTTTCATCTTTAAAAGACTCGATCTTATAAGTGTGAATATATCAGTTTTCAATTATTGGAAGGTCGATATGTTTGTTTATATTCAGAAATGTCAATTTCTAGAAATACGGGTTAGAAAATATTTTTCACAATGGTAAGCAAATAATCTTTTGATTTTCAATTTAAAAAAGTTTTAAAAAGTAAAATGTTAAGAATATTTTATGAAAATAAAGATTTTGAATGGTTAAATACGTTATAATTTTATTGTTTGCACTTTAAAACTCGTAAAAGAAATATAAAATAAATACAAATAAACAATCATTCCTATTGAAGTAAATTATAAGAAATAAATAAAAATAGGTAAAAACATTTGTAAAAACTTTCTACTTAGAAAAATCGACTAGAATATAATTGATTATTATACATATTTCAGTTTTCTTCATTTGTTTTTTCAGTTCAAAAATGACATCTTGCCAATCAAAATTTCAATATACTTTTTTAATTACAATGCTTTCAGCAGTAAATAAAAATGATTCACGCACAGAAAATTTTGTTCTTGAATAAATTTCGAACATATATATCTAAAAATAAAAAGTGTGCTTGTAATTTAAAAATATTTATATTTTTATGTTTAAATCGCACGGTTCCGTGGATTCGCCCATATAAGCAACACAATTCTTTCTTCCGAATTGTGAAAATGTGTTGCCAAAACGTAAATTTTTAGAAATTTCTTTTGTTTTTAGGGTTCCGTACCCGGTAGGAACCCTATTAAAATGGTTACGAAAAATGACCACGTACCCCTTCCCCCCTAGCGCTAACAGTTTTTCATTTAGAGAGCTAAAGATTGGTACACGTATGTATTTTCACGCGTACATTACAGGAAAAATGTAGTGGAAATGATTAGAATTTGTCTTCATTGCGTTTTCAGCGAAAACCTAAAACCTTTTTTCAAATTTTTGATACTAATTATACGTATGCTAGTTCTCACAATTCTTAGTCTAGTGGACTAGCGTTGGGTAATTTTATTTATTTTTACGTGTAAATTATGGAAAAAATACAGAGAAAAGGATTGGAGTTGATCTTTAAATTTTTTTTAGATTTTACCCCTCTGACGCTCATAATTCTTGGCTTAGTGGACTGCAGTTTTGTATTATTTATGTACTTTCATGTGTAGATTTTAGTAATAATATAGCAAACATATTTGGAGTTGATCTTTATTTATTTATTGTTTATACTCCTACCCTATTGGCCTTACGCACTTCGACAAGAGTCCCCGAGAAATACTTTTTTTTTGGATTAAGCATAACCATTCTACATAAATTTTCTATATATTAACCTAATTTGCGTCTACAGCCGACTTTTATTAGGAGTACTCGCATTGCGCCTGGAACACCCGTCAATGGGTTTTCTCGCCAGAGAAGAGGGAAACTGTAGAAAACCTCTCTGAGTACAACCGGTTTATCGACAGTCGAGTTCTAATGGTGTGTACCGGACAATAATAATCGACGGTGCACATCATTATACCTCGACGTCAAACCTCCCGCTCAGATTGTCTCACGTGCCGGAAAAATACCAAGCCAAGTGGGCGCGAACCAAGGATACTTATACCCTTGGTCCTTGACCGCTAACGCCAGGCATCTATCCGACTGAGCTAATCTGTCGGTTGGAATTGATCTTTATATGGTTCTCAACAAGTAAATTGATATTATTGAAAATTTAGTGAAAAGAGTGTACTCATCCCTGGTAGATACAATTCTTGACCTAGTGGACTTCAGATTTATATATATTCGTATATATTTTTATATTTAGACTTCAAGAAAAATTCAGTACCAGTTTACGGTATTATTCAACGCAGAAAGGAAAATTGCATTTAACTGCACTAACAAAAATTTAAAATATTAATTAATTACTAAAAAAATTGATGATAAAAAATCACGGGTAGTAAGAAAACTGCAGAAATCCTTGAATAAAAACTTACATTAATAGTTTTTGTGCTAAGAAAATCATACGAATCAACGAGCACGGTTATGAAATACGTCGAAAAAAATTACACAAGTTGATTTGCGTTTTTCCCCATTTCTTAATTGTAGCCAACTAATACCCTCTCTTTAGAAACAAAAAGATCATATTTCCCTTGTTCGGACCTCTAGTTTTAAGAATAAAAATAAACTAATTTTCATTTATTCTGATTGAGTAGGTGTAAACGGCTTCAGACTTTGTTTTTTATATTTTTGTTTTCAATTATACACAATCTTCAACAGTTTTTTGAGATTTCTGAGAGATAATTAAGAAAGTGTCCATCTTGAGGCCACTTTTTTAAATAAAAAATTTTAACAATTTTCAAAAATACTTTAAAAACTTTGTGGGTTCAAAATAAAGGATTTTTTCTGTTGTCTAAAGATGCCTAATATACTGTACTTTTATTCAGTATATTACAATTTAACATCTTATTGGGTTCGGGTTCTATAGCATTAAATCGAAACCATGTCCATATTTGGGCCTTTTTCCCTAGATTTACTCTAACACGTCTTTCAAAACGGAGTTTCCAATATGTCGAAAAGAAATAAAACAAGTTGTGAATCTAGATTTTAATTACATTAACATTTTGTTTCCTCTTTACGATCAGCAAAAAAATTTGCTTCCTCGTGGAGGAAGCATTAACGACAAGTATATTTTATCAGGCATTTAGCTTAATTTCTAGACATTAGGCTAAATTTAAGCAAATAGAAGAATCCACGTGTGGAGGACGCGCATTCCTTTATCTGCCTGGATTCAATTAGTGATTAAGCTTGTTGCCTATAGGCAAGAAGCTGACTGCCTAAAGTGTTTTTGGCACTTATAGAAGAGAAAGAATGATGACCGTATAAGAATCTATGACTGTATAAAGACAACCGGCGGAGACCAAGGACAGCAAAAAATATTAACGGGTTCCAGAGATATTTAAA